GTGTCACCCTGCAGGTGTCGCCCTGGAGGTGTCTCATGCATGTGTCACCCTGGAGGTGTCCCCAGTCTCTCGGTGTGTCAGCAGGACATCCCCTGGCAGGGCAGGGGGCAGGAGCTCGGGGAAAAGGAGCAAAAGGAGCAGCTCCCCAGGGAGCAGGGGATGCTGATCAGGAGGTTCCCTCCTCTGGAAGCACATCCCAGCTGTAGAGAGCAGGGAAGGAGCACAGACCAGGACACATCTGGAAGCACATCCCAGCTGTGGGGAGCAGAGAAGCAGTTCAGACTGGGACACATCTGGAAGCACATCCCAGCTATGGGGAGCAAGGAAGCAGCACAGACCAGGCCACATCTCCTCACCTGCAGCAATGCTGCTCCTGCTCCCCACCAGCTCTGGCTCTGGACAGGGTTTCACTGCATTTTAACTGAAATATTGTGACCTGCAAAGGCTCTGTGGGGCTGGGACCCCTCCAGACCCTGGGAGGGTCTCCCAGAGCAGGTGGCTGGGGGTGAGTGGCTTGTCCTGGGTGTGCTGTGCAGCAAGGGGCTGGTCCCAGCTGTGGCCTCCCAGCCCCCCAGGCAGCAGATCCTGGTGGATCCCTGGGGCTGGATGTGCTTGGCACAGCTCCCTCCCTCTCTCCCTCCCCTGCTCCAGAGCTAGCTGATGTAACCCAGTTCTGCTCATTCAGACCTGGAAAAGGGAGCTCATGGTTGTTTCCTAGGTGTGTTGTGTTGCCTATTCCCATAAAAAACATCGTGTCCCTCTCCAGGGTGGGACCAGGGGTGTCCCCAGCCCAGAAACCCCTCCCAGCATCCCCCCAGGGCAGCTCCTGAAGGAATTTGGGAAACCCAGAGCTGTGGGAAGGGGTTCCTGGTGGAAAGGTGCTGTGGGAGTTTGTGAGTTGCTGCCTGGGACTTGCTCCCTCCCTGGTCCTGCTGTCCTGCTGCTTCCCAGCAGTTTGCACCTCCTGTTTCCTCTGGGGCTGATTCATAAAAATCCCAAGCACTGGACATGGAGCAGCTGGATCCTCCCAAACCCTCATCCTGTGCCACAAACTGAGAGCTCAGCCTAAAAATAGCCCTGTGCTTGTTAGAGGTGTAGCCCCGACTGCTGATGAGGCCTTGGGAACCAGAAATAGCTCCAGAGTCCCAGCAGGAGCAGAGGATTTGCCTTGAACAGCTGCTTTTTGGAGCAGCTCAGGCTCAGCCCCTAAATCCCCTTGGATGCTCACAGGGCTGGGGGTGCTGGGGGCACATCCAGGCTGTTCCAGGGCAGCTCCTGCATTTCCCTGTGTTAATCCCCTCAGGTCCTCCCTGTTTTTTTCCATGGGATGATGTAAGGCACGCAAACTCCTTTCAGGAGCTCTTTGTCTTTCCTGTGCAGTGACTCAGCCCCCCAGGCTGTCCCTGCCCAGCTGCTGCAGCCCTTCCCTCCTGAGCTGCTTCCAGCTCTTCCTTTAAATTGAAAATGCACTGGGGATGTTCCAGACAGCCTTTTCCCCTCCAATCCCTTGGGAAGTGTTCTCCTGATGCACCTGCTGCTGCATCCATGATGCACCATCCCATGCCCTCCTATCCCATCCTATTATCCCATCCCATTATCCCATCCCATCCCAT